GACAGGACGGGCACGGGAGGGACGGTGAGACCAGACGTGCGACGGAGGAGTCGGGTCAGGAGACAGAGGAGGGGACACAGGAGGAGAACGAGGGGGGAGACGGGCCGGGGACGAGTCCGGCGGAGGGAAAACAGGGCCGTAGACAGGAAGAGGAGGAGACGGCCGGGGAGGAACCGACGCAGGGTCGGGGGACGGAAGGCCGAGCAGGCGAAGGGCTGACACCGGCGGGGACTGCTGCTGCGGCGGCACAACGGCGACACCTGGACCGCAAGCTGCTCCTCGGCTACCACCGGCACTCTCCACACCAACACCCCCAGAGGGACCACCTCCAGGGCTACCGGGACGAGCACCCCCAGAGTCAGCGAACGGGTGCTGCGACAGCGGCGGCGGCGGCGGCGGCAGCGACGGCTGCAGCGGCGGCAGAGGCGGTGGAGGAGGGGACTCCAGGGGAGACGACGCCAGGGGAGGGGCAGCTGGCGAGGACTGAGCAGGAGGGCCACCAGAGTCAGAAGACTCCTCAACCGGGTCCACCGACGGAAGGGGGGTGACGTGGGACACACCAGAGGGGGCGGGACGGGGAGGAGGAGGAGGAGGGGCAGGGACTACCGGGGAAGGAGGGACCAGGAACAGGGGGGGGTAACCGGGGGACCACGGTGGGGGAAGCGACGGTAGTAGGAGACGGACTCGTCAAAGGTGACGTCACGAGAGTGAAAGAAGCGGTGAGACGGCGGGTGGTAAAAGTGCCAGCCGGACGCGTCAAGGGGAAAACCGAGGAAGACGCAGGGAAGGGTGCGGGCAGTGAGCTTGTCCGTGCCGGAGGCACGGACGTGAGCAAGGCAGCCCCAGACGTGGAACGCAGACGCGTCACCAGGAGACCCAGTCCAAAGACGGGTCGGCGAAACCTGCGGCTGCTGAGGGTGCGGCCACAGGTTAAGCTGGTGAGAAGCATAGCGCACAGCGAACGGCCACAAAAAATGGGGTGCACCGGCATGGATCATGGAGGTGCGAGCCACCTCCATGACCAAACCGATGCGTCGCTCAGCGACCCCATTCTGCTGTGGGGAGTCCGGTAGGGTGAACGTCTGGGTGATGCCCTCCGCACGACAAAAGCGACCAAGGACACCTGAGGCAAACTCGCCACCACGGTCGGAGTGAAGACGCAAGACAGGGAGACCGCGGTGGACACGCGCAGAGACAAGCCAGGGGATGAGGGCGCCAGGCACGTCGGCCTTGCGCTCCAGGGGAAAGACTGTGGTGTAACGAGTGAAGTCGTCGACAAGCACAAGGAAGTAGCGCTCTCGACGCGGCCCAGGGATCGGGGCGGGGCCCCAGACGTCCAGGTGCAGTGTCTGCAACGGCGCGGCGGTAGGGGGAAACGAGGAGGAGTGAGGGGCACGGCGAAGCCGGCCCTCGACGCAAGGCGTGCAAGGTGGGGCTGGGGAGGAGGGAAACGCAGGGAGAGAACCTGGGAGACCAAGGACAAGACCGTGCTGGGACATGTGACGCAGACGCGGGAGCGCAGGGTGACCTAGGCGGTGGTGCCAAAGGAGGGTCGGGTGAGTGAGAGACCGACAAGAGCAGGCAGCAGCAACCTGGGTGAGCGCTTCAGCCGGGGGGGTCACGGTGTCCAGAGTGAACAGGCCGGACACCGGGTCCTGGGGGAACGTGGACAGGGGGGCACCAGTGGCGGCCTCGGTACAGACAGCATACCGCTCGTGACCAGGGAACGTAGTGGTGACGCCAAGGTCCTGGAGGCAGCCGACACCAACTAGGTTCCTGGAGAACGAAGGGATATGCAGACCTGTAAGAGAGCCCGAAGGAACCGCCGGACAGGGAAGGGTGGTGGAACTGCGGGCGACGACCGGACCGCCAGAGGGGTCAGCGAGAGAAACGGCAGCAGGGACGGGAAGCGGCGTCAGTGTGGTGGAGTCGCGGAAGAAACACCGAGAAGCGCCAGAGTCCAAGGTGAAGGAAAGCGAAGCAGAGGCGTCTGGCGACGGAACGACGGCGGAAGCACCAAGACTACACAAAGCAGGAGATCCTACGCCTGACGCAGCAGGGGAGGCTAAGCGAGGCACACCTACTCTAGGCAACAGTGAGTAATAAGCTGGAAGCACACTAGAGTCATCAGCATACATCACATGCAAAGCAGAAACAATGGCATCCATGTCCATATCAAAGATCTGAATCTTACGACTAAGCAAACTGTGCCAGTCCGGGAGGTCTGGCAACGGGCCGAAGCGCTGACGAAAGAGGTCGTCCAGGCGACGAAAACAGCGGGGAGTGGAGTGACCGAGCCTACCGCAAACGAAACCGCGGCGATGACCGGTCTGGATCTGGTACTGACAGCGCCCGCCGCCAGAGCTACCACTCGACACACCACCACGCGCCCGACCACCGCCAGCGCCGGGCCACCCGGGCGGGAGGACACTCGTCTGCCGCGTCTGCGACGGCTGCTGCGGCTGCTGCGAAGGCTGCGACTGCGGCGGCTGCTGCAACTGCAGGGGCGGCGGCTCAGCGGAACTGGGCAGGGTCCCCTCGTCCGCTCCAGCACCAGACGACCTGACCCCACCACTACCCCCTCCCGCACCCCCGCCTCCGCCGCCGCCGCGCCCAACCTTGGGGCGGCGGCCCTTCCCCGATCGAAACAGCGCAGCAGCAGCAGTCTCAGCCACTGCGACAGAGCCGTCGGAGAAGGTACACTGGGCGGGGGCACAACCCTGAAAGATAGGGACAGGCACGACACCGCTCGCCTGGGCGATGGAGCGGTGACGGGTCTCTATCACAGTCAGGGTGTCTACAAAGTCAGTGAGGGTGAGGTCTGCGGGGTGAAGGCTAAGGAAGCGGTCACGGGCGACAGCAAGGCGGTCAGGGAGGCGGGTGGCAAGCAGGTAGAGGGTAGAGGTAATGGGCGGCTGGTGGGCTCTAAGCTGTGCGTCAGTGCAGGCGGCGCGCCAGGTCTCCTCTATCGAGCGCAGGTGGGCAGCGAGGTCAGAGACAGTGGGGAAAGAGGCAAGGTCAGGAAAGAGCATCGGGAGGATCAGGCGACCCACCGAGGCAGCCGGAGGGGTGGAATAGCGCTTGATGACAGCATCTAAGTATGCCTGAGCAGTAGTGAGGGACCTAAAGCGAGGACGCTTGGACGGGGGGAGGGCGTTGCTAATGGCAAGCTGGGCGACAGCATCGCGAGAAAGCCTGACAGAGCGCGCACGGGCAGTGGCAGCAGTAGACTCACGCTCAGTGGGTGTGGGGTCAGCGGGCAGAATAGCAGGGGGGTCTGGGCAGGGGAGCGTACCGTCAAGATGTGCAGAAAGCGGTTCACCATCCTGCCGCTGGCCAGTGAGTTGGCGGCGGAGGTCGGCAAGCCACGCCTCGAACTCTAGGGGCTGACCTTCAGCGTCGAAGCGAAGCTCCGCCGCCATCAGGAACAGTCCAGTGCGGTGCAGGGCAGTGCCGCAAGGTGGAGTGCGGTGCAGTGCGTTACAGTGCGATGCAGTGCGGTGCAGTGCGGTGCAGGGCGGTGCAGTGCGGTGTAGTGCAGTGCAGTGCGGTACAGTGCGGTGCAGTGCGGTGTAGTGCGGTGCCAGGCAGTACAGTGTGATGCGAGGCGGCACGGAGCAGGGCGGGGTGGGGGGAAGGGGGGGGGGAACCGTACCAGTGAGGAGGACGGGGCCGGGGCTGGCCCGACGGGGCCGGGCAGGCGCGACGGGGCCGGGCTGGTGCGACAGGGCCGGGACGGGGCGACGGGGCCGGGCTGGGGCGACGGGGCCGGGCGAGTGCGGCAGGGCCGGGCCGGTGCGACGGGGCCGGGCGAGCGGGACGGCTGCCGGGCAGGTGCGACGGGGCCGGGCGGCTGCGACGGGGCCGGGCGGGTGCGACGGGGCCAGGCGGCTGCGACGGGGCCGGGTGGGCGCGACGGGGTCGGGCGGGTGCGACGGCGCCGGGCGGGCGCGACGGGGCTGGGCAGGGTGCGACGGGGCCAGGCGGCTGCGACGGGGCCGGGCGGGCGCGACGGGGCCGGGCGGGTGCGACGGCGCCAGGCGGGCGCGACGGGGCCGGGCGGCTGTGACGGGGCCGGGCAGGGTGTGACGGGGCCAGGCGGCTGCGACGGGGCCGGTCGGGCGCGACGGGGCCGAGCAGGTGCGACGGCGCCGGGCGGGCGCGACGGGGCCGGGCGGCTGCGACGGGGTCGGGCAGGGGCGACGGGACCGTGTGGGGTACTACGCGGCCCAGGAGGGGCGCTACGGGGCCCAGGAGGGGTACGACGGGGGGGGCCCAGGAGAGGCGCTACAGGGGCTCAGGAGGGGCGCTACGAAGCCCAGGAGGGGCGCGACGAGGCCCAGGAGGGGCGCTAAGGGGCCTAGGAGGGGCGTGACGGGGCCTGGGAGGGGCGCTACAGGGCCCAGGGAGGGCGCGACGGGGCCCAGGAGGGGCGCTACGGGGCCCAGGAGGGGCGCGACGGGGCCCAGTAGGGGCGCTACGGAGCCCAGGAGGGGAGCGACGGGGCCTGGGAGGAGCGCGACGAGGCCCAAGAGGGGCGCTACGGGGCCCAGGAGGGGCGCGACAGGGCCCAGGAGGGGCGCTACGGGGCCCAGGAGGGGCGCTACGGGGCCTGGGAGGAGCGCGACGGGGCCCAGGAGGGGCGCTAGGGGGCCTGGGAGGGGCGCGACGGGGCCTGGGAGGGGCGCGACGGGGCCTGGGAGGGGTGCTACGGGGCCCAGGAGGGGCGCTACGAAGCCTTGGAGGGGCGCGACGAGGCCCAGGAGGGGCGCTACGAAGCCCTAGGAGGGGCGCGACGGGGCCTGGGAGGAGCGCGACGGGGCCCAGGAGGGGCGCTAGGGGGCCTGAGAGGGGCGCGACAGGGCCCAGTGAGGGGCGCGACGGGGCTAGGGGGGGGTCGCGACTGGGTGAGCGGAAGCGGTAGGTGGGGGGGATCCTACCTACGCGTGATACCATATCAAATAGAAAATTGAATAATGGCTAGTGAGAGTGTACAGACAGATATACCTATGAATTGTACCCTCTAAGAGGCGACCCTATACAATCTATACAAACATGACACATACACATGTTTGACAGTGTCACCTCACCATAGCCGTCCTTGATGTGGCTTTTAACAGTGTTTGAGATCTTATACTACGTACGAACAGAACTCTTAAATTGGCTCACTCAATAGAGAGCCATGATCCATACCAGGGCAAGCGAGACAAGAAGACATCCATAAATGATGGCATACTGTACCGTAATTAGGACAACAGTGGCGGTAGAAGCTGTAACTGTAAGTACACACCCCTTCGTCTTCATCTACATCAAACGAACCGGTCCAGTCCGGTGCGGACCGGTCAAGTCGGGAAGGGGAGAGGTTCATAAGATGGTGCAGCACTTGTTGATGTCCTTGGCTTGCTTCACAAACATCTGCAGCAGAGAGACAAATTGCGTGAGGGGAGGGAGGGAGACGACAGGCAGTGAGAGAGTGAGAGGTTGATAAACACTTGTCAATGCAGCACTTGTCAATGCAGCACTTGTCAATGCGCCGTTCACAAACACCTGCAGCACACACACACGTAGGGGGGACGGGAGGGCGACGGATAATTGCAGAGTCCAGACCACTGCTAAGGTGGCCATGGCCTGCTCAGAGTCCAGACTAGACCAGACCAGACCAGACCTCCCCCATCGACTAGTGCATCTGGTGGCGGGTGGCATATTCTTGACCAAGCTTTCTTCTGTTTCTACGCACGGAAATGCGAGGGGATCGAGACACGTGCGTGTCTCGATAATAGGGGAACCAGGCACAAGTGGGCAATGACAACACTCAAGTGGCCCCCACAGCTCCCATAGTGCAAGGAGTAGGGTAGAATTGGGGTCACAAGGGCGCCAAACAGAATCAAACCCAACCCAACCCCGACCTTGCCTCGCCCTCGCGATACACTTTGAGCTACTGTCACCTGGTTACGGTGTGGAAAAACCTTATCTTGGGTCAGCAGCAGCGAAGTCGGAGTGAAGACGCAAGTTGAGAAATGAAAGGGGAGAGAGGCGCCATGCGCTGTGCCATGCGGTGTGCGCTGTGCCATGCGGTGTGCACTGTGCCATGCGCCATGCGCCATGCGCTGTGCCATGCGCCATGCGGTGTGCCATGCGCCATGCGGTGTGCCATGCGCCATGCGCTGTGCCATGCGCCATGCGCTGTGCCATGCACCATGCGGTGTGCGCTGACCTTGGACTGTACACTCAAGTCGTTGCTCATGGACGCGAGGTTCTCTAGCGTCTCCCCTCTGTTGAGCATCTTGTGAATCGTGGTCTCCTGCACACATGCACGCATGCAAGTACACTCACATCCACATGCATACAGAAGTGCCATACACATACACATACACATACGCATGCACACGCACACGCGCACGCACGCACGCATGCATGCTCGGACGGCGAAGACGAACAGGCACCATGACAAAAAAAAAGAGAAAAACATAAAACCAAGCTGACAAAGGCATAGGAGGGACAGATCGGATGGCTGTGACACAAGGATCGGATGAGAACACGCGCCAAGCACGCCAACAGCTGTGGCACATACGTGTGTGTGCATTTCACCATGTAAATGCAGACAATCCCCTGCAGACACATGCATGTGTACATGTGTGCATGTCCATCCCTGCAACAGCCTAGCATTCTGTAACACCGAACCCTTCCCTCCCTCACACCCACCAACCACGCATGCCCTCGACCAATCAACTCCCGGACAACGTCCCGTTCCTCACCCTCTGTCCCCCTTCCCCCCCCTATCCCCCCCCCCATGCGTCTTCCCCTCCCTAGCCCTCTGTTCCCTCCCTAGCCCTCTGTCCCCTCCCTAGCCCTCTGTCCCCTCCCTAGCCCTCTGTCCCCTCCCTAGCCCTCTGTCCCCTCCCTAGCCCTCTGTCCCCTCCTGCCCCTTCCCAATTGTCCTCCCCTCGCCTTTCACACCTCGCCTCACCTGCCACTCACCACTGCCTTCTGGGTCTCGTCAATCTGGACCTACACCTTATAAAAGCCGCCCTTACATCCGCTATTTCTCTCCCTCCCCCATCCCCCCCCTTTCCCCCATTTTTCCTCACACCTCTCCCCTCACATCTCCCCCCACTGGCAACTCACCACTGCCCTCTTGGTCTCGTCTATCTCGCTCTGCACTTTGGCGATCTTATCCACACTCGCTGGGTCCTGCAAGGGGATGTTAATGCAGGCAGTCGGTGAGCCGGAACAGGAGGGGAGAGGGCAGGGGTGGGTGGGACGTTCAGACGCGGAAACACGGGCAGGGATGGGTTGAAGAGCAGCGGAAACAACTGGGGAAATGGGTGAACTGGTGTGGGAACGAGAAGAGCAGAGAGGGAGAGGGTGTGAAGATGGGCAGAGGGCAGAAAGCGGGAAAAGGGGAAGACGGGCTTGGATGAGGCGCAAAGAAAGGAGGACGGGAGAAGGCGAGAGCAGGGGAAGGTGGAGAAAGAGAGAACAGGACGAGTGTGAGGAAGGTGAAGATAGGGCATAAGAAATAGGCAAGGGACGATAGCACCCTTTAAAGCTCTCACCCACCCCCCCCCCCATATTTCCCCCACGCATACACGCACGCCCAGACGCAAGCGCGCACACACACACGCACACACACACCTGTGCCTGCACGAGCAGCTTATCGAGCAGCGGCACGGACTTCTTGTTGTCCTGCTGTATGCTCATCCACTGGTCGCCCTCCGCTGCCATGTACTCCTCTGCCACCTGCGGTGCTCACTCGAACATGCAATACAGATCACACACGTGCGCACATGCATGCATATGCATGCACACGCACGCACACACATATACATAACACACACTCCACACTACATTGCACTCCTTTGCTCAGAGACACGCACATCCCGACTTCCCACCACACGCCACAACACACACAGGGCGCAGCATACAGTCATGGGTATGTTGAGCAGATAACCACTCACGTGGGGCTGATATGACAACATGGCGTGGTGCAACATGTCATCATGACATGACATGCTGACATGACATGCTGACATGACATGCTGACATGACATGCACCAACATGCATCTGTTTCTTAAACCTCATGGCCGAATGCCTTGCTTGCACCCCTCCCACCCCTCTCCCTCCTTCTTGCTCACCTCCTCCCCCTCTCTGAAGCCCCCCACCTTCCCCAGCCCTCTCCATCCCCCCCTCTGTCTTCCTCCCCCTTCCGTCCCCCTTCCGTCCCCCTTCCCCCTTCGCCTCACCTTCTTGCACACAGCAAAGCCACTCCCTCTGGGGTAGGCCTCATCTGCCACCACCAGCACCACCAGCCCGCTCTGGTTCACCACATACACCACGTACTCTGCAGGGGGGAGGGGAAGAAGGAAGGGGAGGGGGGGGGAGTGGAGAGATGGAATGAAAGAGGGTCTGCGGGAGGGAAAGCGAGGCTGCTGTAAGGCGCTTTGTTGCTGCCACCAGCACCACCAGCCCGCTCTGGTTCACCACATACACCACGTATTCTTTATAAGAGGGATGGGGGAAAGTATGCCACCGTAAGTGAAGGAACCTATAAGGCGCCTCGTTATAAGCAAGCACCACCCACCGGCCATATACCACGTCCTTCTGTAGGGGAATGGGGGATGATAAGTGCGAATAACGACGGCAGGAAGGCCGAGGGAGGGTGGGGAGGGGATGTGGGTGTCTGATCAGCAGACATCTCCAGCCAGCGCTGGTCCAGCACGCACACCACGTATTGTGCAGGCGAGTGAGTAGAAAGAGGTGGGAGTACCGGGGAAAATCTTGAGGGTGAGCAACAGGGAGGACGTTAGATTTAGGGTGGATGGACGCACATCACGTTACCCATTAATGTGGGATGGAGAAGAGAAGGGGTACGAAAACAGAGGAGAGAGGAGGGCGGGGAGAGCATGGAGACAAGAGGAATTCCAAAACCATGCTGCTATCTTCCACCTACCCACCCCCCCCCCCCCCCCCCACCCCCACCCCCTTCCTCCCTTCCCTCCTCCCCCCTCTTCGCTCATACTAATCCGTTCCGTAACCTGCCCTACCTCGTTCCTTGACCGTCTGTCTCTGGTTGTAGGGCGCGCTTCGCGAGATCGTGCGACAGGCGAAGAGAATGAACTCCTTCGCCGTGGATCGCTCGAAGAAGGAGAAGTGCGACACGTCCATGGTGCTGCCCAATAGGATCGGCTGGCTGCCCGCCATTCGCGGAACCCTAAACAGCAGAATCCCCGTCACCTTCATCGCGGCTTCTAGCGGCGCGACGGATAAGAGACGATAATCCGATTATAATCCGCAGGTGATCGGGTGCGCGATAAGGAACGAGCTTGCGATACTATAAACGCTGCAATCGGGGATCGGTGCAAGCGGCGCGCCGGGATTGATAACGAGTTTGCGAAACGATGCTCGGATTGGAAGAGCGCTCCGCGTATAGGCCACGAAACAACGAGACAGACAGCGGAGCGGATCGAACAAGGAGAAACGGACGGTGGCGAATAAAAATAACGGAACGGATTTCAGGAATCTATAAACGAATCTGAGAAACGGTTTGACAAATCTAGCTGTTTTACGAGAATGTCAATCGTGACTCGTGATCCGCGAGTAAGCAAAGGCGCTACGGTGTGGGTGCATAAGCTGGGGAGCAACAAGAAGAGCGCACACGCGCTTGGTCCGCAATTAAAAATAAAAAATAAAAATAAAAATCCGCGAACAATATTGGGTAGCTACGGAAAGCAGATTCAGACGGATTAGATCGTTAGCATGCTACGCCGTGTCGGAACGAGCAAGACCGCTCTATCATTGTTTGGAGCGGAATGAAAGAGAAGAAATGGCGGTGATGGGCCACAAGTATCAGTTGAAACACAGATCGCGGACCACCAGCACGATAGACTAGCGGTTGTGTTGTGCAAAGCAGCAGGGTGCGAAATCACACGGCAAAGCTGGAGGCTAGGGCCGTGTCATAAGGGGTTCACGTACATCCTAACCTTACCAGAACGTAGTGGAAGTGTAATCAGTCGTGTCAAAACGTACAGAAATGCACTAGACCGTGCTATAGTGTACTCTTATGACGCCCTGCTTATGACCGCTCAGTACTGCACTTCACGGCAAGAACTGAGAAGCAGGGATAGGCTTGAAAAGTTGGGGCGAGGGGCGCAACTCTTCATGAGCGTGTCCAGAAAGGTTCAGTAAGCTTTTGTACGGTTAAAAGCTTTCAAATATTAATATAGAATGGTTGGGTAGGGTTATCGGGCATAACGTTCATTTGACGCGCTGAGGGGAGATGCCCCACGAGTCAGGAAAGTCATAGCACGCAGCCGATCGAATGCACCGCGAATGACGGAGATCCGCGTTCATACTAACGCGCTCGTTTTGCGGCTCATTTTTCGAGGTGTACCACTCGGCGTCGTATCCTAGACGAAGCACGGGGACGTTTAATCCACGAAACGCATAGAGCGAACAGAGCGAAATCTGGTACATCGTCACTCGTGACGTTTGGAGATCGATACCCTTCATTGCGTGCTACTCACGCAAAATCCCTGTGTCATTTTGCGGACGAACCAGTCTGCCGCAAAAGTCCCCCCTAAGGGCATGGCCGCTGTGGTTCAAATTTAGAATGGTTGAGTACAGTAACAATTGCACGTAAATTTCAAGACTCCTGAAATGAGCATTTTGTTCTCCACTGGCGGGCTGTTATGAGGGGGAATGGAACAATCGACCGAGTCTAGTTCGGCCTCATTTGTCGGCCCAACCCTTTCCCGAGTCACGTCCGACCCTGTCGCCACGAACCTGCCCACGTTCCGAGGTTATCGCCCTATCACGCCAACCCCTATATAACCCCGTGCCTTCATTGCAATAGCGACCTTGTATTCTTACGTTATAGTTCATTGACACTTTCTAAACCATAACAACTGGTATCAGAGCCCGTCCTTTCCATGAACCTTCCGTTTTCCCATCTACTCAGTTAAAGATGGTCAGAGGGGATTAGCACGGCCGCACAGAAGTTGTCTTTGATCGTAAATATTTTTACGCCAACAACTACAGCGTGTGCGGTAGCTTCTGCCCCGTCCTGACCGCCATGGCCCCGGTAGAATCGACGGTTGAGGGACAGTCCACGTCAACTGCTGCGAACCCTGCCCGGGAAACTGTGGACCTGCGAACATTAGTGGAGCAGTTGAAGAATTTGATAAGCGTCATCAACGACCTCCGCGACGAGAACCAACGACTTCGCCAGGCGCAGGAGAGGCGTTCAGAGGAGCCGGGCGACGATGCACGAAGCGAGGCGGGTGAGCGGCAACCGTCGCCAGTGGAGCTGGCACGACTAGCGGCAACAGCCCCGCGCTCGACAATGGGCGGCGTAAGATATCAGCAACCCGCTTCTTTCGATCCAGCGAATAAAGGCGTGACGGTGCAGCAGTGGATATTCGCCATGAATATATATTTTAACGCGGCGGGCATCAGAGACGATCAGAAGCGGATCAGCCACCCGTTGACACTGTTGCAAGGGGCCGCCCTACAGTGGTGGAAGGTCATCGTCGACTCAGCGGCAACTCGCACCGAAGGACAACACGAGTGGTCCGAAAAAATCGGCGACGAAGACGAGGCAGGATTGTTGTTCGGTGCGACCCACATTCGCACGTGGGCAACGTGGTGCGCAGAGCTTCGCAAGCGGTTTGAGCATGCACATGACTGAGAGAAAGCACGCGAAACTATATGCATGTGGAAGCAGCTGGGATCTGTGTCCGATTACACCGCGCCATTCTTCACGTTCGTGGACAGATGTGGCTACACGCACGAGTTGGAGAAGGTCGACAGGTACATGGACGGTTTGAAGCCTGAAATACAGTACCAGATAAAACTCCAATGCCCTGCGAAGCGGTTACAAGTCTACATCCAACTCGCCGAAGCCGTTGATTCGCTTACGAAGTCGAGGACGAACTTCTACGATGGAGGTCGCCCTCGAGAACAGTACCAGCGCGCCACGATAAAAAGGGTGGACGCAGTGGATATTTACGCAGTTGCTCCACGAAATACGGGGCTATGCTACCACTGTGGCCGGCGGGGTCACATCCGACGCAAATGCCAAGAATTCTTAGCCCTCCAAAATTCCATGGGGAATAAGCCGGAGGAGCGGCCGGGAAATGGGTCGCGTCAGTAAGTACCGGGCCCCTTACTAACGCACATGCTTCTTCGCCCGAACCACACAGTCCCCACCGGGTCGTGATCCCGATTGCTGCAATCGACCGGACCCGGACGAATAAGGGGGATGAAACTGCTGATCACCCTGTGTTGGTGGAGGGTAACGTCAACGAAATGTTACTGAAGAATTTCGTTGATGGAGGCGCGAGTCACGGTCTCATACAACTGGCAGGGCTAAGAAATTGGGTATCCCTTTACTCAAGTGTCTACCCGAAATCGACGCCCGACTGGTGGACGGAACACCGGTGGCAATACGGGAACGATTGGAGAACGTCGGTTTTACTTGTGGGGAGCATGCAAAATTTCGAATGGGACTGCTAGCGACTGCTCTCGACGGGTGCGACGTGCTGCTGGGACGCAATTGGTTGCAACGGTACAACCCGAAGATTGATTGGACGACGGGCGGCTGCAACATCAAGCTCGAGGGGATTTCCCGCAAGCTACCCAAGTGGACGGGGCCTCGCATGCGAAGCACTCAAGTCCTCGCGATCAGTTTCAAACGCGCGATGAAAGATGGAGCTGCAACGTATGCCGTTGATCTTTGCGAGGTGACATCGGCGGTCGAGACCGAAGACATCGAGAAGCTGTACAAGGCCATCCCTCCGTACTTATCGGACCTGATTCGGAAATACCCAGAAATTTTCCTGGACGACCTGCCAGCTGGACTCCCGCCGAGCTGACATGAGATCCATCGCATCGAGCTGGAACCAGGCGCCCAACCGACGGTACAGCGACAATTTCGGCTCAGCCAACCGGAACTAGAAGAATTACAGCAGCAGCTGGATTATCTTCTGACGAAGGGATTTATCCGGCCCAGCACGTCACCATACGCTGCCCCGATACTGTTCACGTCGAAGAAGGATGGAGGATTCTGAATGTGTATCGACTACCGCGTGCTCAACAGGATCACCATCAAGTCGCGTTACCAGATCCCGCGAGCCGACAAACTTCTAGACCAACTTTGCGGTGCCAAGTTTTTCTCGAAAATCGACTTACGAGAAGGTTACCATCAGATTCGCGTCGCCGCTAAAGATTGTCACAGAACGGCATTCGAAACCCGACACGGCAGCTACGAGTACCTGGTGATGCCTTTTGGCCTCACGAACGTGCCCTCGACCTTCCAGATGACCATGAATGGAATTTTACGGGAACTCTTGGACAAGTGCGTCATCATCTACCTCGATGATATACTCATCTACAGCCGTAGCAGGGAGCAGCACTTACAAGATCTTGATGCAGTCTTCACGCTGCTGCACAAGAATCGCCTCATCACCAAAGGGTCTAAGTGCGATTTTCTTAAGCAGGAGTTGGAGTTTCTGGGCCACGTCGTCTCTACTAAAGGAGTGAAAATCGACCGCAAGAAAATCAAGACCATACAGGAATGGAAGCCGCCAAGCAACATCAAGGAGCTGCAGAGTTTTTTGGGCTTCATCAACTACGTCCGCCGGTTTATCCCTAATATGGTTGGGTTATCTGCCCCGCTAACTGTCCCCCTCAAGGATCACGATTGTTTTTGGTGGGGAGAGAAGCAGCAAGCTGCATTTGACCAACTGAAGATCGCCCTCACGTCGCCGCCCGTCCTTCGCATCTCCGATCCTGAACGTCCATACGAAGTCACCACCGACGCCAGCGACATCGCCATCGGTGAAGTTCTCCTACAGGATTTCGGCGACGGATTACAGCCGGTCACCTACGAATCATGGAAGCTGCAGGGCGCGGAAAAAAACTATATGGTATACGATAAGGAAATGTTGGTGATCGTCCACGCATTCAAGACCTGGCGGTGCTACCCGGCAGGCGCTGACGTCACTGTGCGGACCGACCACTAATCCCTCCAGTACATGCGAGCCCAACCGAACCTCAACCATCGACAGATCCGATGGCTCGATTTCCTCGAATCCAATTTCCACTTCACCATCACCTACAAACGGAGCGCCAACAACATTGCTGATGCCCTGACCTGATCCACTGCCCACACAGCCGCCATACTAGTCGCCCAGACCAGCCCACTGCTTACCGGACTATTTACCCACGTCTACAAAATCGACCCCTTCTTCCGCTCTGCTATTCATCAATTGCATACCACTGCTACCGGACACTATTTTAATCAGCGCGACACTTCCTGCATCTCGGTTCCCGGCTACGATTTACTTCGTACCCTTTTAATACAGGAATCTCACGACAACCCTACCTCCTGACATTTCGGAGTCGACAAAACCATGAAAAAACGTTGCAGCGTAATTATTACTGGCCGAACATTGCCGACGACGTGCGCAAGTACGTGTCCTCCTGCACCGCCTGCCAGATCATGAAATCATCTCATCAGCGAGCAGTTGGACTACTACAGCCGTTGGATCCGCCCGAGCAACCCTGGCAACACGTCACGATGGACTACGTGATAGGACTGCCAGCCAGTCCCAGCGGAAACGACGCCATCCTCATGGTCGTTGACCGACTCACGAAAACGACGCACTTCATCACCTGCCAACAAAAAATTACAGCTGAAAAAAACAGCCCAACTGTTCATCGCCAATGTCATCAGACTGCACAGACTGCCCAACGCCATTAATTCAGACCGGGACCCGAAATTCACATCGAATTTCTGGCGCCACCTGTGGGACCAATTTGGCACCAACCTACAGTTTTCCTCCGCCTACCACCC